CTGATAAAAGCATCTTTATTCGTCGTCAGGCCTCTGAACGCCATTCCGGGCTGGGGAGACCTCACCCCTCCATCAGACCTGCCCTGGTCAGAGCGACCAGCGATGACCTGTCAAGAAACCTGCCGATCATTTTTGGCCTCTGTCTTCCTTGGCCGCTGCTTAGCACCTGCCACACCCACAGGGCTGCCCTCCAGGAGGCCACGCAGCTCTGGTCCCTGCCCACCCCTTGGTAGCCACTTCTAATGCTGGAGTGGTCCCAGGCTTGACATTTGCTGGTCACTGGGCTCACACTCACCCCCGGGAGAACTTGTCCAGGTTCTTGGCTTAAAATCTGTCAGCACCTGAGGCCTCCTGATTCCTCCTTGTGGGCCAGGTGGGCAGGCTCATCAGCTCTCCTTCAGAACCTTCTCGGGAAGTATAAGCTGGAGAGCCGCCTGCCTACTCTGCATCTGCACACCGACACCACCCTCCTCCCTGTCCTTTGCCCAGACCCGTCCCTCCCACCTCTTCCCCGTCTCAGTCAACAGCAAATCCATCCTTTCTGTGCTCAGGCTTCAACCCCTGGGGGTGACCTTGATGCCCCTCTTTCCCTCATGCCTCACATATGATCCATTGGCCATCCAGTTGGTTGGCTCCCAGGAAATACCTGGAACCTGAATGCACCCTACTCCCTGAGTCGAGTTGCCAGGCTGAGTTCACCTGGATTATGTCAGTGGCCTCCACCCGGGCCTCCTCCCAGTCCAGTCTCCCCACTGCAGCCTGAGGGAGCCTGGTCAGAGGTGAGCGGGTTCAGGTCTCTCCTCTGCTCTGGATGCTGGGTGGTGGCCCTCCCTCGCTCAGAGCAAGTTAGCTTAAGACAGTCCTGGTGGCCTCCTACCTCAGGGCCTTCGCACTTGCTAGTTCCTTTGCCTGGAACACCTTCTCTCCAGGTATCCATGTGATCTGACACTTCACTTCCTTCAGAGCCTCCTCAGGGAGGCCTCCCTAACTGGAAGTGTAAGCTGCTGTGTCCCCCATGCTTAGAGCAGAGTGTGGTGCGTGCGAAGTGTGCATGAGATTATCGCTGAGCCAGTGAGGATCCAGCTGGGGCAGCAGCTCCTCTGGCTTCAGGCAGGGAGGGGGATCCCTGGCTACTTGTTGCTCTCCCTTCCGAGGCCCCGTGCCCAACCTGCCCTGACTGCTCCCATCCCTACCCTTACCCTTGGCGATCTTGATGTCCAGGGCTGTGCGGATCAAAGCCATGAGGGTAGAATTGAAATGGACGGTGTTGTCATCAGCAACGGGCAGATCCATCCGCAGGAGCCTCTACAGAAAACCAAAGGCAAGGACACAATCATTCCCAGGCACTCTTTCCCCCTCCCTTGTGAGCCAGACCCACAGTGCCCAGGGAGCGCCAGGAAGAACTCTGATGGCAGTGACTCAGGTGCCCCCCACCCTCAGGTTACCCACCCCAGCACTCCCTTTACTGATTCCCCTTTGTGCCCCACGGCGCGGGCACTGGGCACTTGTGGCCACTTCTAATGCTGGAGTGCTCTTTCTTCTCCCACCCAGTGCACCCTAGAGCTGGTATCCCCAGGGCTCGCCCAGACCCTCGCTCTGCCCAGAGTTCTTCTGGATGGCTCCGTTCCATTCCGACCCCCTGAAACATGAGGCAAGCCGACTGCAGCAACCCATGCGGCAGCCAAGCACAGGAGTCTACGGCCACAGCCGCTGGGGGGCTGGCGGCTCCCCATCCCACCCAGATGGGCACAGACTGCATCATTCCTCTGAGAAGCAGCAGGCAGGCGGCCCCCCACTAATGGGGCGGGCCCCTCGCAGACATGCAGCGAGGCCGTGTCACACAGAGCAGCAGACAGGCACATGCAGACGGGATCTCGAGACTCATTCATAGCTCCGTGGAAAGTGTATCTCGGGGGCATGTCCAGATGTTGGCTCTCTGTGCAGTGGCAGGGGGTAAGGGGGAGGGGCACCCCGTGGCCCAGGGAAGAAAAGACTCCCTGTGTCCCAGGTAGGGACTTTGTTCCCCATGCTTGGTGGCATGGGAAAGGGCGCTGGGCTGGTGAGGTGGCACAGAGACAGGACTTGAGGGAGTTTTGGTGTTCACCAGGGGATTCAGACACACGTCAGCAGGAAACAGAGTTGGAGACGGGGAAGGAGAGGGCAAGCCTGGAGTAGAAAGGAGAGAGGGGTGGGAGCAGGAAAGGGATGGAGGTGGTAGATAAACACACACAGACTGGGTCGCTGTGCACAGCTACACAGGTTGTGCACTGCACAAAAGGCTCCACATCTTAGAAAGCATGGATTTGTATTCCAATGAACTGCTTCCCAGGTAATAACAGAAAAGTGTCTTGTTCTCACCACATGAGTGGATTATAAGAATTTTCCAACAGACGAGTGTTCTGTGGAAAGGGTGCCCTCTTCAGATTTGCACAAAAGTGCCTTGTGGAACCACAGTAGCCCTGCACAGGAGGGGAAGGATGCTCCCTCCCTCTCTCTCGTGCACACAACACTCAGCCAAGCAGAGACTGAGAGAAGGGACAAAGGGCAAACCAGAGCAGGAACAGGTAGAAGGGGAGGCTTGGTCCAAGATGCTGCTGGGACAGCCTCTTCCTGCCTCTGACTGGGAGGGAGGGGTGCACGGAGGGAGAGGAGAGGAATGAGGTTGTGGGGAGGCAGCTACATGAGGCAGGAAGGAATAGCATTGACAGGAGGGAAGGAGGACTCTGCAGACACATGGAGGGCCAAGGTGGATGGGAGAATGGGAAGATGGGGCCATTTTTCTGGATGGGCTGGGGTGACTTTAAGTCGCCCTTGAACTTCTCGTGGATGAGTTGGAGGTAACAGAGCATCTGTCCTTGGGTGCCAAGGGAGATTCCGGGACAGGGGTCTGGAGAGGTGGTCTGGCCCAGCCGCCTGGAGGCAGGACCCTTGCTCCTTCAGCCAGCATGCAGCACCCCCGGTCGGCCATGGTGCCTGCCCTCCCCAGGCCCCCGCCAAGGCAGCGTGCATGGCCTGCGTCAGGGTGCCACGGTCCAGGGGTCCAGCTGCGGCCCTCCTGCCCACTCTGGAACAATGGAGAGGCATGTTGGGGTGTCTAGGCAGGGATGGGTGGTGTAGGGCTGGGGGCTGGGGAAGCAACTCTGGTGCAAGGAAGGCTGGGGAGAGGAGAGGCTCTGGGTCTTCCCTGGGACGTCTCGGATCCCCCAAGGCCCTAGGTCAGAGATCAGCTTCAGGTACGTGTGCAGTGGGGAAGGGGGGCTGCTGGCCCTGGGGTGGAGATGCAAGATGGGGTCGGGGCCTCGTCTTCTTGTGGGGCGGGCAAAGCCCCCTTGCTGCAAGGCACCTGCCCCAGCGTAGGCATGGGGGCTGCTCTGGGTGGGCAGAAGGGAGGCACGGTGGTGACCCCCTCCCCGGGAAGTGTTTGTGTCCAATTTGGCTCCCAAGGGACCAGGTGCCAGGGGTCCTGGGAGCTCCCCTCCTCCTCCCCCTGGCGTGTCGGCCATAATGGAGTCTCAAAACACCAAGACACACTCATCAGAAAAGACGGACACAGTGTGCTGCTTAGAGTCAAGGGTTGGTCATGATCCATATACTTGAGGAGGGAAGGGAAAAAAAGAAAAAGAAAAAGAAAAAGAAAAAGAAGGCTGGAAAAAGAGACTCGTTTGGCTGTTTCTGGTCAGCACGGAAAAATCCCCGGTGCCCGGACTTCGGTGGTTGGCAAGGGTAGCTACCTTGTAAGCCACTCTGGCCGGACACTTCTTCCCCAGACCCAGGGGAGGAGACATGTGTCTCAGCATCTGATACATGTCCGGGTAAGGCATGCGGCCCCTGGCAGCACCGGAAACAAAAAACGGGGGTGGGAACGGAGAACCAAGGGAAGGGGGGGTGGGGTGGAGTGGGGCGGGAAGAAATGGAGGAAAATCCAAACCAAAACCAAACCAAACCAAAACCATAACCAAAAAAATCACACGGGCCGAAAAAATAGAGAAAGATGCAGAGAACGGTAAAATAGGTATTTCAAATAAATGGAAAAGAGGAGGAAAAACAATGGAAGGAAAAGTAATTAAAAAAAAAAGATTATTTCACTGCTCACAAAGCAGGGGGAGAGAGAGAGAAAAGGGAACAGTCAGATTCAGTTTGGACTCTGAGCTATGGTTCTGGTGGAATGCGGAGGAAGCGGGGAGTTCTTGTTTTGGAGGGCCTGGAGAGATGCTTTGGTTTAATTATTTTAAACATTGGGTCAGGTTCTCTGGTTTGGCTGAGGCTGGTCTCTGAGGGGGCCTAGATGGGGAGGAGGGGCTGGGGGTTGTAGCAGGAAGGCTGGGGGGGCTTTGGGAGGTGAAGGGTGGACGGGGAGAAAGGAGGTGGATGGGGCAGCTGATGCAAAGTTACAATCCCCCCCTGGACGTGTCTAATTTGGGGTGCCGTTGAGACCCTGGGATGGGCAGCTGCAGCTAAGAGCAAGCAGAAATGGCTGAAGGGAACGGAGAGATATGTTCCATGATGCTTCATTGAGTCTACGTGACCGCATTCTGTTGGCTAAGAGTTTTCTAGTTTAATGCAAGAGAGAGACATGGCTCTGTTTTTTTATATATATATATATATATATATATGAAATATATATATTGAAGAACCCCAAGCCACACTCATTCCATGGATGCTAGCAGGTTTTAGTGGAAATCAAACCTTGCAAGCAACCCTATGAGGACATTTCTTGCCTAAGCCGAGAGGGGGAGATATTACGCGCAATAAACTGTACATATCCTTATAATGAATCCGACCGCTGAAAGGAGAAGAGAGGGGATTAGTGGAGGCATGGGTCAGGCTGCCCTCATGCTGGCTTCCTGTGCACACAGCAAAGTCGTGCAGCCAGGGGCTGGGGACCCGCTGGCTTGAGGGGGCTCGGGAAACGGGATGAATGAAGGTCCCTGAAATGCTCCCAGATTCTGGAGGCAGGGGGATTCGGGTGAGGTGTGCTAGGAGCTCTGGGCTGGGGGGCACCTCCCCCAGGGCTCTCTCTGTATCTCCCTCCTCCAATCTACATGGGCTACATTGGAGGGATTGGGGGCAGGGCTTGTGGAATAGAGGACAGGGGGACAGCATCCAACTGCTGTGACCTAAAATCAAAAGAGGAAGAGTTAGGAATTGGCCAAAAGTCAAGCCCCAGACCCGTGGCTCACCCCAGCCTCTCGGTCTCTCGGAGGACTTGTCTGGGGCTGCAGGAATGGCAAAGATTGACTCCTCCCGGCCTTCCTCGTGAGGCCTCCCCTCCAGCGCTCAGGCTGCTGAGGGCCCCTGTTAACGCTTTCTCAGGCCCCAAGCCCAGCCTGAACTTGAATCCTCAGTTAGTGGTTGGTAGGCTCTGAGCATCAGGATGGCACCTCTGAGTGTCCTGCAACGGCTTGGTGTTGAGCAGGTGCTCAATACACACACACGGAATGAAGCAGCCCCTCTGAAACCATCACCTATCAGCCAGAAGGGGGCACTCTGCTGCCTACGGAGATGGGAGAGCTCACTATTTAGATGAACAGGAACATGCAAGGGCCAACTAGGCTGTGTTATTTGCCCTTGGCCTTGAATGATCACCTGCTCCATGGTCTTGAGATCCCAGGGGGAGCTGGCTTCTGCTACTCTGCGTTTGCAGACTATCCTGCTTGCCACGGGAGCTAGGCCAGCCCCTTTCCCATTGCTCCCAAGGAACTGAAGCTGAGAGGCCTCTGGCTTCCTCCCTGGGGCCTGGCTGAGGTCCTTACCATCTAAAGGCCTTGTAGTGAGGGACAGGAGAGACTCACAGAGGCAAACCCATCATCTCCCTCCCTTGTCTCCCAGAAAGCCTGATGCTTGGGCAGGGGGTGGCTTCCCAAAGCATTTAACCTGAGATGTGTGATGGTGCTGATCCTCATCTCTTTCCTCTAGCCTGGCCCCTGAGATCCCCACTAGCTCCCCGGGGACCCAGCGCCCTGAAGTCTCGGGCCTGACCTAGCCTGTGCTCCAGGGGCAGAGAAAGGTGAGTAACATGGCTGGAGGTTTCAGGGTGACTCCTTACCACGCTGCAGGGTCGTACTCAGCCCAGACACGCACGTACTCATCCAGGTGGTGGGGACCCAGGATGGAGGAATCTCGGGTGAGGTACTCAAAATTGTCCATGATGACGGCGACAAAGAGGTTCAGCATCTGTGGGGACCCCAGTGGTCAAGAGGGAGTGGGAGAGGGCAAGATGCACCCCACACACATATGCAGAGGCCCGGAGGGAGAGAGGGAGGGACATGAGATGGGGAAAGGGAGACAGAAAGATACAAACACCAAGAGTGACGGATAGAGACAGACAGTCAGAGAGGCAAGAGAGGCAAATGTTAAAAGGGGCTCAATGCCAAGGGACCCCATGGCCCCAAATCCTCTCATACCTGGCCTCCAGAAAGGCCAACGTGAGAGCTCCATGTGGGCAAGACTTTGTGTTTGGCAGCCCCATCACACACAGTAGGCACTCAGCAAATATTTCTTGCATGGGTGGATCACTTTCCTGCTCTCGTCTGCGTCTGGTAGCACCTTTCCATGTGTTCTTCCTGCCCTTAGCACACGGGGAGCTTGCATTGGTCTTGCCTCCAGGCCTTTGTAAATGTTGCTTTTTTAGTGAACATCAGGATTTTCCTCCTATTGGGCAGCAGTACCTGGGGAAGCCCTCTTCCTTTAAACTTAAGACACTCTAGTTGGACGCCTAGTGGTGACTTCCACTTTACGGCTCCACAGGTGGTGGTCATATAACACAGGCCTGTGATTGGTTAGGGAGGGGCACATGACCCAAGGTGACCAATGAAAGCCTTCCCTGGGATTTTTGCTGGCAGTCTGGTCGCCACCTTGTCTCTACCGGGAGAAAGTGAGAATGAAGCCAATGTGGAGAATTGCAAAGAGGTTGGAGTCCACGACCCAGCCTCACCTGGACTTTTCAGTTACAAAACTCAGTGAACTGCATGTGCTGCTTAGGTGAGTTTCAGCTGAGTGTCTGTCACTTGCAACCAATTTGCTTAATATATGTTCTAGTTCCTGCTACACTTTGAAATTTTCCTTCCCTCAGTCTGAATCTCCCCCATCACAGCACATGTTAGATTATATCGCTATTGTTTGCTTCCCATCACTCCTGCAAATAGCCATGTTCTCTACTTATACTCCCAGTGCCTAGCATAATGCCTGGCACATAGTAGGTATTAACTGAATGTTTAGATATAAACATAGTAGGTGATTAATAATAACTCATAATCTTAGGTGCCTCTAATATTAGTGATTCTATCTTTAATTCATGATATTGATTGAGCCCCTGCTGTGTGACAGTAGCTGTCCTAGGTGAGGGGCTACAAGCAGTGAACAAAACAGAAATTTCTGCCTTTCAGGGGCTGACGGTCAAGTGTTGGAGGTGTCTTCTCAGGTGCCTGCCCTTCCCAGATGGGCTGTATGGTGAGATCTTGTCCCCACATGCACCCAAACTGCTTGGACAAGGGTGGTCATTTGACCAGGGGCTGGGCTGCCCACTCAGACTCTTCTGGGAATTTGGAATTGGGCATGGTCCTTCTGGGTCAGAGGCTGCAAACACTGGACTTGAGGGGCTGGGAGACTGAGGCTGCAGGGCCTCTGCAGACAGCAGGTATGCTAGGCTTTGGCCAGCCGACACTGGTATTACATCCTGCTCTTCCAGTAGGGGGCGTATCCTCTTGGAAGAAGGTCCGGAAGAAGGGCCTGGAAGTCTCCTGCCCCAGAGGCTCTGGAGAGAACACGGCCCTGCCAACACCTTGATTGGACTTCTAGCCTCCAGGACTGTGAGAGGATATATTTCTGTTACTTTCAGGGGGACAAGTACCAGCTTGTGGTACTTGTCACGGCAGCCACAGAAGTTACTATCCTCTGCAATTGCACAGGGACAGCAGAAACCTAGGGTACAGTATAGATGCACCCTTGGGGGTGCCAGGGGCAGCTACGCAGGTTGGTGACACCCTCTCTTCCTTTTAATTCCCCAGTCCTGGCCTTCCTGCAGCTGGTGGTCCCTGGTGAGTTGAGCCTTATCTGAGCCCATTCAACCCTATGCAGCCAATCCCTGTATTAAATTCCTTCCACTTGAAACACCTGGACAGTTTCTGTTCTGGCTGTGTTCTGACTGCTCCAGAGAGAGAGAACATAAATCGTATCCTCTATAGCTACCACGGGCCACAGGACTGGCTCTCGGCTCTAGTCTGCCCTCAGTGTAATCTAATGGGTCTCAAACGGGGAAGATTCTGTCCCTCCCCTGCAGGTGGTGTTGGCATTGTCTAGAAACATCTTTGGTTGTCACACCTGGGTTGAGTGGGAGAGGTCTGCCACTGGCATTTAGTGGGTGGAGGTCAGGGATGTTGTCAACACCCTCCAGTGCCCAGGATGGCCCCCACCATGGATAACAATCCAGCCACAAATGTCAATAGTGCCAAGGTTGAGAAACCCTAGTTACCCTAATGCCCAGCTGGCTCAGAGAAGCCTTGGAGGAAGCAAGTCTGTGATGCAGCCACATTCTAGAGAAACCCATGCCCGAGAGGGAGCCAGATCTCAGGATCCCACACCCACACGTCCAGACTCACCAGAAATGAGCAAAGAAAGATGAAGGAAACGAAGTAAAAATAAGCAAATTCATTGCCACACTCGGGAGTCAGGATGCCAGAGTTCTTATCACACGGCTTCCCGCTGAGGCAGGAAAGCATGATGTTGTGCCATGCCTCCCCAGTGGCACTCCTGAGGACAGAGAGGGGTTATCAGGGACCTCTGGACACCAACACTCCCCCAGGGGGGGCAGAACACTGAGGTTAAAAACTTGGGCTCTAGAGCTGGACTGGCATGGGTTCGAGTCCCAGGTAAACCACTTCTTTTCTCTAGGAGCACAGAAAGGTGATTCTCATTGGTCTGGGATGGAGCGTGGGGACGTAGGTATGTTTTAAAAGCTCCTATCCTCCAGGAGATTGTCATCATTTGCTACTTTCTCCTTAGGTTACTCTGTTCCCCACACACTGAGATCCTCACTCTCCTCAAACATACCTGCCACTCCTGACTCAGGGCCTTTGCACTTGCTGTGTCTGCTGCCTGGACTGCCCTTCCTTAGATATCCACAAGGCTCCCTTCCCTCACCTATTTCCTTTCAATGTCACCCCCCACTCCAGGGTGGCATGACCTGCCAATAGACACAACATAAAGTTTATCACTGTAACCATTTTTAAACGTATAATTCAGTGGCAGTAAGTACATCCACAAACCAGTGCACCTATCACTGCTATCCACCTTCAAAACATTTCCATCTATCCCAAACTGAATATTCGTACCTATTAGGCAATGCCTCCCCATTTTTCCATTTACCCAGCCTCTGATAAGCTCTAGTCCACCTTAGTTTCTTTGGATTAGTCCATCCTAGGTACTTCATATAGGTGGAATCATACATAATTTGTGTCTCCATTTCCCTCTTAATCTTGAATTTTATCCCCTTATACCATTCTCTGTAATTAGCTTTATTTCCCCTCTCCCCACTGGGAACATAAACTACCAGAGAACAGAGAATATCTCTTTCGGCTTTGTCTCTAGTACCTACGGCAATGCCTGGCACACAGAAGGTGCTCAATAAACCTCACACTAGTGCATGAAGGAGCTCTAATGAGCAGCCAGGATTAAGAATGAAGCCTCAGTGTCTAAAAGCTTCAGTTTTCTCATCTGTCAGATGGGGCTGCCACAGATCCCCACCTCACAGGACAGTTAGGAGGATTCAATGAGATAATGCCTGAAGATGCCTTCCGTACTTGTGTCCCAGAGTTAGCTCCTGCCCCGTCAGGGTCCCCGGGTCCTGGCCCCCACCCTCAGCTTCACAGGAACAGAAGGAAGAGGCTACGCCCCCTACTGGAAGAGCAGGATGAACACATGCCCCCCTCTCACCGGAAGAGAAGCATGAGGGCCTGGAAGAAGGTCCGGAAGTTGTTGTGCTCAGTGATCTGGAACTCATCCTCATCACTGTCCTCATCCTCCACGTCGATGCCAATGTTGCCAAACACCTGGGGAATCAGAGGGTGATGACCAGGGGCAGCCATGCTCCCTAGTGGCTTCAGGGCAACCCCCCTCAACCCTCATGGTGATCTCTGAACTGGCTTTCCCTGACCCACCCATGCCTGAAGGCCATGGCTCCCCTCGGGAGGGCGGGGGTGCTGGCACTCACCTGCATCCCAATGATGGCGTAGATGAAGAAAAGCATGGCGATCAGCAGACAGACATATGGCAGGGCCTGGTGGGAAGGAAGGCAATGGAGAACAGTGCTGGGGGCCCTGGTCCCCATGCTGCATGCTGCACCAGAGCAATGCCAGGACTTGCGGGGAACCGAGGCTGTGGTGGCAAAGCACCATGGGATATTCCCCCTGGAGCTCTCAAGGACACATCAAGGGCAGAAAGTTAGACAAGGACCCTGCAGGTAACAGATTCTCAGTAAGGTGCATCACAGAGGCATTTCTACCTGATTTCTGGATTTAGCCAGAGATGTTGGGATGGAGATTAGGGGTGGAGTTGTTTGTGCTTTTCTTCTCAACTCTGGGCTGGCAGCACAAGCTCACCTTGAAGGACTGCACAAAGGTCCAGAGAAGAATTCGGATGGTGTAACCCTGACGGAGGAGCTTGATGAGTCGGGCAGCTCGGAAGAGGCGGAGGAAACTCAGATTGATGAAGTTATTCTGGGGAGATGGAGAAAGAGGGGTGACCATCCACCCACCCCCAGGGGCTCAGAGCCTTCACCACTCACAGAGGCCCCTACATGAAGCCAACCAACAGGAAAAAGCAAGCCAGACCCCAAATAAGGAGGGAGAGGAGAGAAAGCACTATTAATGCAATGGTGCAGAGGAAAAAACTCGAAAAAGGATCAATGTCGGGAGTGGGTGGGTGGGATAAAGATAGGAGGAAGGAAAAGGCATCAACTCAAAAGCATAAGCCCTCCCTGCCAGTCCCACCCACGATGGGGAAAAGGAAAGAAAAAGGAAGAAAAAGGAATGGGGGTAGGGAAGAAATAACAAAAGAACAAATAAAAGAAAATATATCCGAATCATCCAATCAGGAAAAAAATCGAGATGGTTTTTGTTTCTCCCAACAACCAAATGCACTGAGACGATAGGACACAAGCGGATCAAGTTGCTGAATCCATCACACGTGTACGATGCACAAACACCAGGGCGGGGTGGGGGTAGCCAGCACGCTCAGGCCTGGTGGGTATGTTCGGGTTCCGAGGGCATGTTACGCTCCGGGCCAGAAATGCATCTGTCATGGGACTCACTGGGCATCCTGCCCTGCTCTGCCGAGCTGCCCACCCGCTCCTGCCCGCCCTGACCTCACCCCACGGCCAAGAGGAGCAGCGGCTAGAGCCAATTCGGAGAAGCAGAAGTGCATCTTTTCTTACCCCCTTGGCGAGCGGGAATGGGGAGGATGGGAGGGAGCTGGGGCTGTTCGGCTGCAGGGCGAGTCCTCGCTGCCCGCTGAGTCGAGAAGATGCATTTGGGGCCCTTTTCCCCCCTCTCAGGGATGGCTTCTCAGCTTCTGGGGCTGGGTGGAGTAGCACGGGACCAGGCCTGCGGGAAGCAGGAAGTAGCAGCGCCCGTGGGTGGGTGAGCTCGCAGTCAGCCCAGGCCCCCCAAGGGGCCAGTACTGGGGGCAGGGAGGTGGGGCCATCCCTGCCCCCAGGACCTCCCTGGGTGGACCCTGCCTCTGCTCAAAGGCCCTCTGTCTAGTCACTGCATCTACCTCCTCCCACCCAAGCCAGAAGAACCCAGGGTGGGGGCGAAGCCAGCCCAAGATGGGCACATGCTCTCAGGAGGCCTTATGTGACTGTCCTGGAGCTTGCCTCCTTGGGGCCTCAGGGGGTGCCAGTGGAGTTCAGGAGGCCAGAAGTCCCAAATAGACCGAATCTGGCTGACAAAGCTATTTGGTTGGGCTTGGATTTTTATTTTTTAATTAAAAAGTTGCCAGTGTGTAAATATCAGATTTTGCCTCCAAATCAGGCTTTCTGGCTACCTTGGGCCCGCTTCTGACCTGGCACCAGTTAGTTGGGGCTCAGATGTGGCTGCCCCCTAGAAGCAGGCCATATGTCCTCATTTGCCTTGTTCTAGAAATGACACCTGCTTTCTTGGCTTGTGACATCTGCTTGGCCGCCAGTGGCATTTGGGTTTGAAACCGTTGCCTCAGTCAGACACAGAAACCGCCACTGGTCAGTCACCCAGTGGTTGGAGGCAGAGGGTCCTTAGCTGGCCTAGCCCTCACCCCCCAAATGGCACAGAGGTGACCAAACAGGTTGCCCTGATGGTCACAGCACCCCATTTGGACTCAAAAGTTTGGATGATGAGTTAGTTATGTGGGCATCCTGCTTTTTAGTTGTCATGACTTCTCAGCTACCAGGTCTGTATTTTGCACTATGTCTGGCCTGGGAGCTGAGAGGCAGAGATGGGGTTTCAAGACATTTCTGGGGCTCACAAGAGGCCTCTGATTTGGTGGCAAAGTTTAGGATGCTCTCTGGGACACATCCGTGGCCCTGAGGCCTCTAGGATGGGGGAGGGGACTGGGAGATCCTACCCTGGCCACATCTGGCCCAACCACTAGGAGAATACCCCAAGGGCCTTGAATAAGCCCCCCAAACCCAGAACAGTGGGGAGCCACCCCTCCATGCCCTGCAGACCTGACTCCCAGCCCTGCCTGGCCACCCAGCTCCACCTGGGGAGGGGCCGATGGCCCAGGTGTCCCCAGGCCCCTACCGTCCATTCCCGAGTACAAGCCATCCCTTCATGGGGGCGGGTCATAACATGTGGACTCGGCCCAGCATGCAAAGGCAGGCAAGACCTGGAAGCAGCCTCTAGGGGCTCGGGTGGAGCCGGGGGGTCCTGCCACCGTGCAGAAGCAAGGGGTTCCGCAGGGAGCTGCGTGCAGAGCATGCTGCCCTTCCTGGAGCCGAGGGAGAAAGGAAACACACGAGGGAGGTAGGGGGTGGAGATGAGAGAGGTCTGGGAGCATGGGAGGGCACTGACTGCGCTCATCCAGCCCCACCTCTCTTCCTGGGTCGGCTTCAAGTCCTTCAAATGCTCACAGACCTTCTGGTGGCTTCCCTCTTCCTAGCTTCCATTTTCCATCCATAGCCTGGAAGGAGCAGCTTTCGCCCAGCCTGGTGGGGGTCCTCTTCCTCAACCCTGCCCTGTGCTTCCCAGTTGTAGGGTGAGAGGGTGGGACACAGGCCCTGGAAGGCTGGCTGCGATCAGTGGTGTGATTGCTCCCATACATGGGAACCAGACTTCTGGGGTCCCCCTGGAAATCCTCTTGCAGACCCCACCTCCAGCCCAAAACTTGCCTCTGAGCTCCAGACCCCATAACCACCTGCCTACCTGACTTCTCTTGAAGTGCCCTTAAAGGCACCCCAAACCTGCTGTGCCCTGAATCATGCGCTTCCCCCACCCTGGTCCTCTCCAGGTGGTCCCTAACTTCCCTAACTCTTGGTTCAAGCCAGATTCAAGTCTCTCCAGGTACTTCTCTCCACCCCCAGCCCAGATCTGACCCATCTGCCTCCTTCAGTGTCATCTCTTGCTGGGATTCCCCGTGCTCACCTCCAGCCCCGCCCTCTGCCTAGCCAATCCGCTCTGGAGCTGCAGTGAACTTGTCTAACCATCTAA